CCCATCCAAAAAAACAAAAAAAAACCAATCGAAGAATAGTAACCCAGGCTATCATTAAAAGTTTAATGGTACATTTATTTTCTTTTTTGACTTTTGTGGGGGAGAATTGGTGCATGGATAAGGGGAGCAGAGAAAAAATCTGTACCTCAGAGTAAAATGTCAATTTTTCTTTTTCTGGTTGTCAAAGTACTGGGCTTATTAGAATATTTGGTCAACGCAAAAATGATATACTGCAGTAGGGAAATGACTGGGGTTTAGTGTGGGGCGGAGTGGTATGAGCATTAAGGAGGAATAAGTATAACTTGAGGTCTGGCAACACCACTACCAATAAATACATATCAGATTTTGTTCCTGTACTATCATAATATTTTACTTTAAAGAAGTGTGGTCAATGCATTTAGATAGGAGTGGGTAATTTGTAGGGGGTATTACATCACCTTCACAGCCTGATATTGGGTAGGATTTGGGTTTTTTTTGACGTACACCGATAGTACATTGTTGGGAAAATGTTGGTCCATGTGCTACGGAGTGAATTTTCTGTAGACTGTCACATTACAAAGTTTTGCCAATGCATTAAGATACTGGGACTGTGGGTAGGTGGGGGTGCTTTGTAAGCAGGGTGGGAGTAGGGTTACGCATACTGGTAGGGATAAGAGCGTCAACACCGCAATTTAGCGAGTTTTCGCTAACGCTTATTCTCCTCTTGCTTAGTTGTCTGTTCTATTCTTGAATAGCAAGAGGCATAGAATGTGCCATCAGTTGTTTTTAATGATTTAGGCGGAAGTTTAATTCACTTTGGCGTGTGCTTTGCTTGTTTTTAAATTGAAACAAAGCAGACTTAATGTTGTAGTAGTGGGATTTAGAGGGGGTCCGGGCCCTTCACAGGATGAAGATTTTGTTTTCCATATGCTCAGATATGCACATTCTTGCATTCTAAGGGGTCTGAAAGACTATGGATTTCTTTCAATTTCAGTTATTACATTGTGAGATTATTGAAAAATTAATTTTTATACTGGGAAACCATAGAATCTTATGTTCTCTCACAGGGCCCAGAAAAATGATGATGATGATAATGATGAGGCTTCGGCTTATGATGATGATGATGACATATGTGGTGGATCAATTTGACAGTGATAGGAGTAATGTGCTTGAGTACAGGGAGTGTATGCCTGCACAAGAAGAATAAAGCAGACTCGATGTTGCGTTAGATACAATTGAGGAGGATCTTCCGGCAAATTTGTGTTGAAGATGTTGGGAATGGACTTTCCTGCATTGTGAGAGTGTATTAATTACTTTGCAAGTAGACCTGTGAAGCACCGTCAAAGCTTTGTCGTTTAGAGTACCGTAAGACATCCCGAAAAATTGCATTGAACTTTCCTGACCGCATTAGTGAGGTCTCAACAATGGGGTCCATAATCCACCCCCACCGATGCAACTCTGATAAAGTTTAGGTGCAGAACCCTCCTGAAAAATATAACGATTCTGTTCTAAAAACAACAGGGTATAACGGTCGGTAGTGGTTTAAGAGCCATGTCATCGCCTATTTACTTCTACAAGTTGCTTTACTATTTTTGTCAGATTGACGGTTTGGGGTTTGAATTGTTTGTAGAAAATAAGGGAGCTGGCATGCCCCCACCTCTTAATCTGTCTCTCATGGCAGAAACTTTATTTCTAGTAATACAGTATATCACTATTTAGTTTCAATACCAGTTTCATAGGACTAGTTCCTTACTTCATTGATTAACAGACCATTCACGTATTTGCGACAAATAAGCCACCCATCGTAAAAAAACTTATTTCAGCTCTGTTTTTTGGGTTTTTTTTTTAATAGTTCTATTTTAATTGTTAGTTTTGCAGTTGTCCCTGATGTTTTTTTTATATGTGAATGTTTTTAGATTACTTTATCTGTGAAT